AGCAAGTAAAGTCTGATGTGGTGATCCCCATAATGCCGGCGCAAACATTAATCGAGCCTCATCGGTGAACAACACATTAGCAGGGAAACTTGGATTTACAACACACTTTTCAAGATACTATTGTTCAGAAGCAATCCCTCAGCTGAAGTGCCTGGATACGTTGCACTCGATATGGATGCATTTAACTTTCTCTGAGAATCCTTCAGATGATGGAACGGGAAACTCCAACTGTGTGCACTACATTCGCGTACTCAAACTTGAAGTCCCTTGCACTTGATGTAGCGCGCTCTCTTTGATGTCCTGAGTCCGTGCTGATCCTAAGCGATTCAGGACAGCTCTTTCAAAAGAACCTATTTCAGCTAACCTCTGGTGCATCCTCGCAAAGAAATTATGGCTCGGTGTATGCTTCATACAATATCGTTCCGCGTACAAGCGCCATGCGGATGGCCTACTACTATCTACAGCCCCATATGCCAAATGTTCCGCGTTCATATAATTATTCCCTGCAAGAACTCTCAGAGCATCCGCGCAACGGTATCTACCTCGTCAGAAAATTTGAGACCCTGCATTGTTATATGATTTCGAGTCGTTGGGGCGCATCCCTCTCCTAGAAGCTCGGAAAATTGATACAGAGACACCCTGTATATGCAGCTTTTACTACCAGTTCTGCTACAATAAGATTTTATATAATGTTAAGATAGATTAGGAGACAAATTATTATATTATTGCACAGATTATGTTATTAATCCTGTTGATGGTACTAATAATAAACTACAGGATGTTTATTGGTTGAATGGAGCATTCAATTACAAAAAATAATTAATATATGAAATCCTGGATATCTCGTGCTTCCAAAGATTACAATCGTAAATTTAAATACTAATATCGAAAAAGTAAAAGTAAAATGATTTAAAATGTGTCATAAAAGTGAAACCAAACCTAATTTTAAAGAAAGACGTAAGATAAGAACAGGAGAAACTAATTGCATAGTAAAATATTAATCGATTTCAAAATAAACAGATTTAAATATAAAATTAAACCAAAGAGCCAAAACATCTACATTGAGTTTTTACAAAAGAAGAATATAATACTGAACCTATTAGATACTAAATAAATGGCAGATAAAATTATGGAACTATTAGAAACATTTCTAGATAAGTATGATTCGGAATGCATTTCTGCAAATAAAAAATTATCAGAAGAATTTATTGAAAAATTCCAAGATAAGGTAGAATGGAAATGTATTTCTAAATAATATTTCTAGATAGATTTCTGAATTCCTAAAATTATCTTTAAAGTAAATGTCAGCTTATTATCCAACTTTTGATAGTGATGAAACGAAAGAAGGAATTCTAAGCCCTCTTTGTATTGGTTTTAAATTAATGTATGGTGGGAATTTTGATATGGAGAGTAAAATTTTAAAAAAAAAAACTGTTTAAATCCGGTCCATAACCAGGAGGCTGCTAATAAAGAATTTGAATTAGAATATATGCATATAACGTAACTACTTTGAAAAGGGCTGTAAATATTGTGTATATAATCTTCCAGTTTATGAGAAAAATGTGTATTTTATGCATTATATCTTGTCTCCAGGGCTCACTTAGGCATTTCTGTCCCTGCATCCTTACATAAAGCAACCAAATCAAGATAGCCGGTATACAGCTTGCAGCTTTGCAAGCTAGACGCAGCAGAATTTTGAAAGAATCCAAAAAGTTAGAAAATTAGATTCCAGTTTGTTAAATTTTACTGAAGCGCCGTAGTAGGAGCGATTAACGATGAAATTTCTTATTACAATCAAATGAAAGCTTAACAGAATTTAAAGATAAATTAGAAAATAAGTATTTACATATTAAAGATGTTATACATGAAAAAGAGAAAAGAATTGAAAATGTTTAAAATCCAATAAAAGATCAAGATGCTGCAACCGAAAATTTTTTTATTGTTCAATTAAAACTTCTTTATATGTGATTAATTTGTTTGGTTTTATTACACTTCAAAGTGACAATGAATGGACTAATATTAAGCTTTCAAAATTTACAAAATATGGAATAGTGCATAAAGATTCTAAATATTTAATAAAAGGAGATGTAATAATCATATTATTTTTATTAGATAAAATAACTGAGAAAGAATCAGAATTTGTCGAAACTCCTGTTGAAATTGACGAAAATATTTTTATTTTAATGTCGATTATTCTTTAGATAAACCACTGTTTACAACATGCTAAGCAAAGTTATGTGTTAAAATATCGAGCAAAGAAAAATGTCACTAATCATTCTTACTTATATACTGAAGGGGTAGAAGCATGAGTCATAGCGAAGAAATATCATGTTAAATAAAAGGCTGTTGATTGGGAATAGGGTTACTTATAAAAGGATTTTAAGTGAAGATTTATTTAGACAGTTTCAAAACGCTGTTCACTGGGATTTTATTTCTAGTTATTAAAAAAAAAAAAAAAAAAAAAAAAAAAAAAAAAAAAGCTGAATTTCTCATCAGTGAATATAAATATACAGTGCATTGGGATAACATTTAAGCTCAGCAGAATTTTTATGATTATGCATGAAAATCTCATTATCATCGTACTGTCTGAAAAGTTCATTTTAGGTGACAAAGATAAAATGAATTTAAAATTTCAAAGTGTCAAACTTGAAGTTATAATTTTATTTTACAAAATTTTTAAAGTTAAATATAAAATTATTTTTTAGATATAAAAATTTAACATAAAATACAGTTACAAATTTTGCACATAGATAGATGTTTTAGTGCATTTATATGTGAAATTGCTGTATATGTCTGCGCAATGTAATATGAAAAATATAGAGATAACCTATGCCGGAAAAGTAAGAATACAAAGGCAAGGATATTTAAGATTGAGTAAATGCGTATCTCGGTAATTTGGCGAGAAATCGCCCAAAGTCGCCACATTTGACAAGCATTTGTAGGCATTTTGGTCCTGTCCATGTATCATAGTGATAGGTACTGTAATTGATCACTATATTCAGTGTAATCGTAGTTTGACCCTCATATAACCTTCCAGTAATTTCGAGAAGCAGAAGTATGAGAAGCATCTCGATGGCCGGAGGAAAACTATATAAGGCCGGAGAGAGCATCTGGCCTTAGTTGTTGTTAGCTCAGCGCAAGTTCTAAGTACTACCTCAGGTTTAGCTTCGCTCTTTAATTGCGCTTTGCCTTGAGTTGTGTTTAACGTTCTTAGTAGTTTGAAGTGTCACTACTGATTGTATTCTGTGTTTCTGTGAACACCTGTACGAGCATTTCTGAGGAAAGTTCCAGAAATTTGATGTGTTGTTTTCATAAAACAAATCTTATCATCTGTGTGCATTCAATTTATTAAGAGCCCTTACGCACGCAACAACTTTGATATCAGGAGGGGGTGAATACCAGTAACAAGAACGATGGATGGGCAACTAAGACAGCTCCTGACTGCGTTTGCTGCATTCCAAGAAAAGATGGAAAGTGCCTTCATCTCCCTTAAAGAAGTGATGAGGCTGACCAAAGTTCTGTTAAAAAAGAAATGAAAGCGATTCAAGCAAGATAAAAGCTGGCCAATAATAAGTTAAAGCGGAGGTGAAAGCTATTCAGGAAAAACTCGATTCAGGAAAGAAATTGTACTTTAAAATGCTATGTAAAAAAAAAGTTTGAAGTTAGGTTGTGTTTTATAAATATTAATTTTTTTCATAATTTTTTACTGTTTTTATATAGAAATAACATAAATTTTAGTATCGTAGAGTGTCTTAAAATGTCTTAAAAGTGTCATAAGCAGCATAAGTACCTCAATAAAAGAAATAGAAGTTAAAAAAATGCTGTGTCTCTTAGTGAGGTATATATGCTACTTACATTTTCAGCAAATAATAAAAAAATATGTACAAAACACACCGATTTTAAGAATAAATTCAAAACTTCATCTTTAAAATAAATACCTTCATTACAGAATATTGTTATATATGTTGGTTTATGATGTTGATGATGCATTCTAATCTGCTAGAAATGCGTTTAGGTTTTGAAAAAGCACTGCAAGTGTAATATTTTACTCAATAGGAATAAACTTGAACAAAACTATTCCCAATGTATACAACATTCAGAACGGTTTCATTCATATGAATAAGAATATTTTTAATCATTACTCTATTTCGCTTTGTCTAATATTTCCATCGGAAAGAAAATAATATTTTATGAAGTAAATAATACTTAGTAAAGCGGTATAGAATAGACAGACCGAAAACAATTTTTCTTCTTTAATAATTCAGCTAAATTTGAAAACTCTGAAAGTAACTACTGAGGAAGTTTGATATAGGAATTAGCTGATAAATTTTACTTAATTTTGACCTCTACTAATTCGGACACATTTCTTATTAAATGTGAAACATTTGACATTGCTGAAGTGCAACAAAAAAGCTCGTGTTAGTGCATGAAACTAATTTTTCTTAACAAAGGTTCGAAAAACTTAAGACCAGTCGGCATACAATTCAAAGGAATTTACTGCGTCCCAAAAGAGCAGCCCTTTTCAAACTTTTCACCAGCTTCTGGTATTACCATCTTAAAAACGCAGTACTGGGGTTTCATCTCAACTGACTCTTTAACTATCTAAGTGAGTAGACTATAGACATAATTATTTCTATTAATCGTCTTCTATTACGAAACATTCTATTAAGAAATTCATTCCATTAAGAAACAAAGAAGTTTTATTATTATTTGATGCACAGAAGCATTCTGAAATTCGATGGCTATCGTTAGACTCAGAAAAACGAACGGTGGAGCTCTTGGCTATATTTTAATTAAGTACTATTCCTCCTTGATCAATAAAGTGGTATACGCACTTTAAGGTTACAAATTTCAAAGCAATACATGCACATAAATATCATGTACAAATTCATAAAATTGCAACTTAATTGCTTAAAATTAAACTTCTAAGCTTAAATTTGCTTGAAAAATCAACTAAAAGCTTTCTTAAAAGCAAATAATTGCATATAATTGATACTTACCCGTATTTAGCAAAGTTTGTCCAGTACAGCATGATTGCTTCTGATAAAGCAATTTCGGCTTTGCTGTAATTATTTGGAAAATGGGTTAAGCTGCTGACCAGTGGAGCTCCAAAAAGATAAGGAAGATCTTCCCCGTGAACACACGCAAGTCTCTGTGGGTAATCACTCGCTTCGGTTGCATAATTATACACATAGAGAAACGTCCTATGTCTTAACTTAGATAACAAATTTGCACTGCTTATCGATGGAGCCACTACTAGAGCATCTGTCAAAGCGTTCACAGTGCCATCTAATATATTCACAGGGTGTTGGACTGGCCTAGACCAGTCAGTGTATTCATTAACTATTGTCAGGAAAATCTCTTGAAGATGATAAGTGAAAAGATTTCGGACTAAAGTTCTTAATATTCTGTCTCTTCGAAGAGCTTCAATGCCGTAGCGTTCTTCACTTGCACCGAAATAAAAGAAAGATTCTATTCTTGTAACACCTATTAAAACATCAACTTTTGGTCCAGAAAGGTAGTCAGCTGATGGGTTTGTTAAAACTTTTTCCGGATCTGCAGGTATAACTAAACCATCCACCATGGGCCCAAAGGCTGTTAAGTATTCTGGTACTAATAACTGCACCCTCATAATGTCTGCAATAGATATCTGCCGCATGCAGCGCACTAAAGCAGGATGGTCAAGAACAGGACATCCCAACTTCCGAGCCACATGTCGTGTGAACGTCATCGCTTCGTGAGCTACAGCCCATGGACTGAATGCTGATCCGCTTTGAAGAACGACTCGTTGGAATAAACCTAAAACAAATCATAAGACGGCATGTAAAATAACAATAAATTTAAAAATAAACAGTATACTTTTATAATGAATGCAAATTAAAGACATTTTGGAAAATAATATTATTTGAACAGAAATCAAATTAACTGAACATTAAAATTATACACTCCTGCTCAAAAAATAAGCAACCAAGGCAAAACACAGAATAAAACGAAAACTATATAATGGATATGCGGTGAAATTGATACAAGAATTTTGTGTGGCATTACTGGACCACACAGCAAACAATAAAGCTAAGACATTCAAAATCACATGCATTACGATAATCATATCACATAAAACCAAATGGGTCGAAAGAATGTGCAATGGAAACATCACACTAAAAACGGGTATGATACCCTATAGCTGAAATGCAATGGAAACATCACACTAAAAACGGGTATGATACCCTATAGCTGAAATGCATGCTTGACAACGGCGAGGTAACATGGTAGTAGTGTCACTGAACTCTTGTTGTGCTAGTAGCACATATTCCTGTAGTAATGCATACCGAAGCTCACTGAGATTGCAAGGTGATATACTGCAATCTGCTGTCCGTCGTCCCAACATGTCCCGTCATGTCGTCCCAACATGTATATACTGTATGAGATTCAGGCCCGGTGATTTAGCAGGCCACGCCAGATGTGGAATGGTTTTACTCTCCACATACTTTCCTATCACTCGAGCTCTATGCCGGTGGATGTTATCCTCCCTAAATATCGTGTCAGTACCCATTGAAGCAATAAAAGGAAGCACAAGGGGTTGTAGAAATTGCTCACGATATTGGAAGGCTGTGACAGATCCACTAGGAATCACGTAGGGGTCAGTGCGACCCTCCATTGCTATTCGAGCCCATATAAGTAAGCCTCTCTCTCCAAAGTAATGTTCCTTTTTCAATAATGTTCGGCGCCCGATAGCGTGTGCTTGGCTCTCGATATATCATTGTCATTTGCCGTGGCCGTACTGTTCTAGTGTCCAACTACGATGTTCACAAACCCAATTTAACAGCGTTCTAATGTGCGATGCGGGCAAAAGAACGTAAACCACAGGTCGTCGGGCTTATATTCTACCTTCATGCCATCGACGCAACAAAGTTTGGCGGGATATTGGCCGTTCTGCAGCCGGAGAGAGATGCAGCGCCATCTGTCGTGCTGCTAGTGATCTACGGCGTCTTACACATAGCAACAGGAAACGATCATTTGCCGTTGTGGTAATCCTCCGGCTTGCAGATCCACGTCTTCTGGAGAAGTTTGGATCCCTTTGGTTTGGATTCCACAACCTATTGATGACACTACGATGATCATTCAGCTTTTCCGCAACAGCCGATTCTCTTTCAACAATTGAAACACCCCGACAGCCCTACAATGCATTTCATCGTACAAATGGCGTAACCGGCTCATGCTTTTATTTTTGGCTATCTCGGACTTCACTGAACTATCGCTTTTTGAGAACTGACGCAGAAGTCCGACATGCCCCTTTTTAAGTTGTTATGGTGTGACTGCGGGATTGCGTTTAATGTTAATTTTGGTTCCCGATTTGCATTTGGCGATGCCACTTCTACCTCACATATAAATTGTATGTTTTAATTCCTCTTTATATATACGTACATTTTCTTTTAGCGTTTTTTGCTCATTTTTTGGGAACAAGTGTATTACAAAACACGTTTCTGCATATATTATCCATTAAGCTATAGTAAGCAAATATCACGATATCGAAAAATGAATTCGCGAGCTACAAATAGACTAACGACATGCTTTAATTCACAGTTAAAGCATCAAATGAAATAGATTAATTTTGCATATTTTCAAGTGTACTTTCATTAATTTTTAAATGCTTTTTGTTTCGGTTCTTGACTAAAATCTTGACTAAACGTATCTATGCAAAGTTGAATGTTAGCGATCGGATTACCTATTCCTCCACACGAACATAATATACTATCAATGTAATAGATTTATTACTATCAGAAATTTAAAATATGTATTGCTTTGCAATTTTGGTACTAATAAGCTTCAAAGAAACACTATTTAGAATTTAATCGCTTACTTTACTTGCATATTATCATTAATAAATATTACATTACCTGTAGATAATCTGTAATTTAACAGAATTATTAACTAATGTATTTCCAAAATCACAATGAGCTGCAATATGGTACATAAAATATGCTTTCTTTCTATACTGACCACATCGTTATCACATCGCAAAATTTATTCATAACGAATAACTTTTACCAAAAAGGATAATCTTCCGGCAAAATGTTGGTACAGCTATTGGTGTGCTAAATTTAGAAAAATTGAGATATTTATTTAAAACTAACGTATACTAATGCTACTGAAGTCGCAGTTTGTAACTAGATAGAAAAGTTGTGTCCAAACACATGTCAGACTGTAACAGGCTATATAACAGTGAAAAACAGAAGCTCAAATAATTGCAGTGCTATTGTTTTCCCACAACATATACGACCATGAGCGCATGCATGCTCATTTAGGATAGGAATAAATATACGACCATGAAAACTTGAAAGCTCATTTAAGACTGACATAATCAAATACGAGGAAAAAATAATAGTTATTGTGGAAAATTAAGTTATTCGCACTTTTCAGTATATCCTTCAGATTCGAGAACGCATTTACTGTACCCCTGCTTGACGGCCGAGACTACATTATAAGGAACCGAAGCTACTGGGTAGTCAGACAGCATTTGGCCCAGCTTTCTTTTTTAATCCGTTGAATACTTCTCCATTAATTGATCCTATAGTCTGATTTCAGCTTTCCACCCAATCTCTCCCTACCAGCGACCACGCGGTAGTCTCTCAACACTGGTAGTTTAGTCCGGGCGTCTAATTCTTGCGAACGGGTTGGCTGCATGGGCGTTTTCGTGTTTTTTCACATGTGTAACATAAATATGAGCCAGTTTCTCTTAGAAAGTCCTGCATGAAGGCATCCCTTCCTTTAGGCGGATAACCCTCGTGCGCTTAGCCGTAATCAAACTAGCCATACTAAAAAATTTTCTATTCTGAATAACATCTCTTAATCATATTACAATCGTGGTTTTCCTTATGTGTATCATGTATACAAACTAGTTTCCCTTAGAAAGGCGGCCTCTATTCCTCCACGAAGGCATCATTCCTCTTAGCCAGATCGTCTTAGTGTGTTTTGCCTTTGCCACAATCAAATAAACCAAACAAAAAAAAAAAAAAAAAAAAAAAAAAACCTTGGAAACATCCCCCCTTAAGAAGATAGCTCTCGAGTACTTTGTCACAATAAAAATAAATAAATAAAAGTGGTTTTTTTTAAACAAATGAACAGTAGAATCCTCCACATAATTTACAATGTGCTTTATTAAGAAGTTTTTTAAACCGAAATAAATTTTTAAATTAAGAAATTTCCATGAAGTTAATGCCGAACAATTTAAAAGTTATGTTCATATATTTTAAGCTGCAAACATATGCTGATTCTTGTTGTTTAACTTCTCCAATAATAGATCTTCGGCGTGTCCTTTTAACCTAAAATCGTTATTCGCTGTGTTGTTTTAACCTAAAAAAACAGCTTTTATTGAGTTGTTTAACTGTTTAATGAAATATTCTCTCAAATGTCATTGAAAGGCGGACAACTTTACTGTAAAAACCGACCTCGATCTAACGTTGAATTTTGTATAAGTTTGAAGGGCACCGCGCCCGTTAATTTTTTCAATATATTTCTAAGGAAGCAATTAGAAATTTAAGATAGCACTTTAAAAACGTATATTGTGCTGTTCATTAGAAAATGTATGTCATTATTTCTTAGGCCACACTTCACGATTTTTTTTCCAAAAAAATAAAAAATTGTTAAAAAAAATTCAGACTTTTCTAAATATCGAAGTTTATTCACATGATTTCAGTATTAAGTCGTTTGTCTAGATACAGTAGACACAACAATAGTTCTGACTCACACTGCAGTTAGAACTGCAGTGAGTTTCGAAAATTAATCATCTTTCTTCTGAACGGACACTGAATTAATACTGTTAATTTACATAAATATTTGTTTATATTTGTTTGCTCTTTTTTTCGTCCTACTGCATTTCCAGGGGTTTTCGATTATAACATATTATGTTTCATTGTTTGTGATTTGGTTTACTTCTTGTATTGTAATTCTGTACGCTTCTGTGCATTTTGTATACTTTTAGGTTTTTGATAAAAACTGAGTTATAGGCATTTAATAAGATTAGCGATTTTTCCAGAACATTCCTAAATGCATCCCCTTTCACCCTTATTTCTTTGGCAAAACAATAAAACCCTCAAAAGCACTGGAGTCCGTTTAAGTCAGATTCAATTGTTTATAGTCTGAAAGTTCAACTTTTTACGGCCTAATGATTAATATTTACAGCTAGTTAGTGTTACGTGGACATAATGGAATACGTCAGATTTAATTACACAGTAATTTTAGTCTTTGCTAAATGAGTGAGCCTGAAATTTTCTCATCTCTTCTGAACGCTGAGGCTATGAGTTTTCTACTACCAGTTACTCTGTATTTTGGAGACCCGATCTACCGACACCCATTACTTGGCCTCAACCTAAACCATCTTTCCTCCATACTGAATTAACCATTCCTGTAAACTTTCCTTCAGAAGCTATGCAAGTCAGGAATATACATCTTTCAGTAGTGGATAGAATGATACATTTTACGTAATTTCATAGCTAATTTTCCACATACTTAAAAAATTATATAATTATTTTTAACGAAAATTAAATTTTCTGATTGTATAATTTTCACCAAATTCAATTTTCTAAAATAATTATTTCTAAATAACTTATTAAATCGGCATCTTAAAAGTTTAGCATTTTGAAAAGAATACAGCATAAAAGTCGGGTCATTTCTCTTCATAGATAATGAAAAAAAGAAATCTATTCTTAAAATATCACATTAAAAAAAATTAAAGATTATATAAATACTTTTCGTGAGATTTAAAAAATCCAGCATTGCCAATTCCTTCGCTATCATATTAGAACTACATTTCGTTTTTTTCTTTTGCAGCTATATTTTATATGCTAGTTACATATATATTTATATTTTGTAATCTACATTTAGGATATTTTGACAGTGTATTCTCTACATCGTTTATACATTTCGTTTCGAGTTGTTTTATTATTTTCACGCAGGTGACAGGTGACGGAGGACGGGGGCGCCTGGTGTCTAACATAGGTAACACGGCTATCCCCCCGCGTCCTCCACTGTTAGGCCACTCCCTGGAGCCCCATGGCGCCCCGGGTTTATTAGGATCTTAAGAAAAAAAAATTATCATGACCATACAAGGGCTAGACTACATGTAGTACATTGTAAGAACGTGAGACAGTTATTTTCACGCAGCGGAACCCTGGACTGAATCCAACAGTAACTAAAATATGACTTTATTATATTTACAACAGTTTAAAGCAGGAAAGCGCTTTTGTGGCAGGGAGTGCCACAAAAGGAG